TACATCGCCATCGAGCTCTGCTCTGCCACGCTGCAGGAGGTGAGCCCGCACCTCAAGGTCTGCCTGCCCCGTCCCCGCCACACAGCAGGTCCCCAGGGGAAGGCTCCCAGTTTCTCCCATCCCGCTAGCGAGGCCCTGCAGGGGCTGGGGGCGTGCAGCCGGCAGCTCTGGTTGGGAGCCCTGGCGGAGGGGCAGTGAGGGCGATGTGCTGCAGCCGCCGGCTGGGCAGCCTGGAGATGGGCCTCGGGCACGGGGTGGCCTCTGAGTGGGCTCGTACATCTGAACCCTCATCTTCCACCTCCGTCAGCCTAGTGAGAAGCTTCTCCTGCCCAGCCTTGCCTTGTTTGCCCGGGCCCTCAGCCCTCAGTGCACATCTTTCTGTCTCCCCGTTTCCAGTACGTGGAGAGCCCCAGCTTCAACCGGCGCAGCCTGGACCCGGTGTCTGTCCTGCACCAGACCATGTCAGGCCTGGCACACCTGCACTCCCTCAACATCGGTAAGAGGGCAGCGTCCTGTTGGGAGCGGCTGGGCATGCAGGAGATGTGCTGCAGCCCTGCTCACCCCAGCAGCACCTCTGGCATCAGCCCTGCGGCACGGGGCCACGCCTGCAGGTAACGCTGCCGTCTGTCTCTTGCAGTTCATCGCGACCTGAAGCCCTGTAACATCCTCATCTCTGTCCCGAATAGCCACGGGCAGATCCGAGCCGTCATCTCTGACTTCGGCCTGTGCAAGAAGCTCCAGGGGGGGCGGCACAGCTTCAGCCTGCGCTCCGGCATCCCCGGCACCGAGGGGTGGATTGCGCCCGAGGTGCTGCAGGAGGCCCCGAAGGAGAACCCCGTCAGTGAGCTGTGGACAACTCCGTCCTGCTTCGCGTGCTCCTTGAGCCTTTCTTTGCAGCGTCCTTGCTTGCAGCAGCCTTGCGGTGTGCCGCTGAGATGCACAATTAAGACCAGAGCTCTGAGAGCCAAAGCCAGCCCGAGCGCAGCAGCAGTGCGCACCGCCAGGGCAGCAGCCGCCTCCTGCTGTGCTCCCCTTCGCCGTGGAGAGGCAGAGCCCGGGGCCTGGCGAGGCCGCAGCCCCATCGCGGCCCTCCGACGCTTGGCTCTGGTGCTTGGAAGCGTGGGGCGCGTGGTGGTGGTGACTGTGTGTCTGTTTGGCCCCGGGGATTGATCCTGTTCCTGCTGGGAGCTGGTTGCTGATGGGCCTGGCAGGGCACGGGCTGCTTTTGGCAACGCGCTTCACGTACCCTCGTGCTAGGATCAGCCTGCAGACATTTAAGGCAGCAGCTCTCCCGTGTTCATCTGGCTGTGGAGTCCTGGCTTGTGTCAGTGTCCCTGAAACCTCTTCCCTGATGAGGACCCGAGGTGCTGGGGGCATCGCTGGCCTAGGGAGAGACCGTCCCAGCTCTGGAGAGCTCGGCAGGCAGGAGCCCTCGTGCCTCGCACTTCCCAGCAGTGCCGCGGTGTCTCGGTGTTGCTGCCCGGCTAAAGCTGTAGCTACCAACCGGGCGTTCACATGGAAAGGCGGGGGTGTAAAGCTCTCCTCGCCCTCTGCTGCGAGGGTCCCATCTCCCCCTCTGTGTCTTGCAGACGTGCGCTGTGGACATCTTCTCAGCCGGCTGCGTCTTCTACTACGTGGTGTCGGGAGGGCAGCACCCCTTCGGGGACAGCTTGCGGCGCCAGGCCAACATCCTGGCGGGCACTTACCAGCTGCCCTGCCTGCAGGAGGAGGCGCACGGTGAGGCTGCCCGGAGGCTGATGCCTGCAGCAGCCGCCCCGTGCCAGGCTGTGCGGCGTGCCCCATCCTCCCTGCAGCCTCGCTTAGTGCTTGCTCCTGTTTTGCATTCAAGACAAGGTCGTTGCGAGAGAGCTGATTGTGTCAATGATCAGTGGCGAGCCCCAGAAGCGCCCCTCGGCCCCCGTGGTCCTTATGCACCCCTTCTTCTGGAGTGCAGAGAAGCAGCTGCAGTTCTTCCAGGTGAGAGTGCTGAGCGCAGCTGGGCAGTGCCCGTAGGTGTGCTCTGAGCACAGCTGGCACCGTGTGGGCTGCAGGTGGTCTGAAAAAGGGCTGGGAACACCCACGTGTATTCACCGTGCTCATTTTGAGCTACTTTTGCAAGGGCTGTTCCCCTGTTCCCCCAGTTTGGGGTCAGCACTAAGCCCCTCCCATGCTGGATGCGCTGTGTGCCCCCCGATCCCTGCAGCTCTGTGCACTGGTGCTGGCCGGGGCGGGCATGGGACCAGTGCCAGTCCCTGCTCTCTGGCACAGGACATCAGTGACCGCATTGAGAAGGAGCCAGCCGAGGGACCCATCGTGACGGCGCTGGAGACGGGGGGCCGCTCGGTGGTGAGGACGAACTGGAGGATGCACATCTCCCTCCCGCTGCAGACAGGTAGGAGCACAGGCTCTGGGCTCACGCGGTGCCGTCCTGCTCCATGCAGAAGCACGCAGGGCATGGAGCGTTCTGCGCCTGGTGCCATTTGGCCATGGGGCACCTCCAGGTGTCCGGGAGCCAAAATCCAGGGGGATAAAGATGCAGCCCTTGGAAGGGCAGAGCAGGGCAGTGACCCCTGCCCAGGGCAGGGGCTCCTGCAGGGCTCTGGCTTCCAGGGGGCACTCACCCCTCTGCTCTGCTTTCTCCCCAGACCTGCGGAAGTTCCGCACCTACAAGGGCGGCTCGGTGCGCGACCTCCTGCGGGCCATGAGGAACAAGGTACGGCCCCTGCCCCACAGCCAGGCTGCGTGCTGATCCAGCCGCCCCTCACCAAGCCCTCTGTCCCGCAGAAGCATCACTACCACGAGCTGCCCGCCGACGTGCAGGAGGCGCTGGGCGCCGTCCCCGAAGGCTTCGTGCAGTACTTCACCTCCCGCTTCCCGCGGCTCTTGCTGCACGCGCACAGCACCATGCGGCTCTGTGCCCGCGAGCGGCTCTTCCGCCCCTACTACGTCCCGGAGCCGGGCGGCGCGGGGAGGTGAGGGGGCTCCGTGCCGGGGCTCGGCAGCGGGGGGCTGCGGCTCCTCGGGGTGCCGGGCTCCCGGCAGGTGGGGCGCCAGCGCCCGTCTCCCATCTCTGCAGCTGAAGCAGCGCTTGTTGGGGCACTGCCCCTTTTGGGGTGACTTTGATGGGATTTTGCTGCAGCGGCTGTGCTGCAGCCCCCGTGCCCTGTCCTGCCCTGGCTCAGGGGGAAGGGGGCTCCTGCGGGGAGTCCCTGCTGGGGTCCCTGCATGGCCCTTGGCTGTCGGGGAGCTCGGCTGCTGCTGGGCACAGGGACTCTGGGGGCCATCTCTCTGAGAAGGCCGGAGGCACCGTGTGCTGAGCACCAGGCACGCTGCCTTGTGCCCCTCATCCAGCAGCCCAGCCACCGGCCATGGGCTCCCTGGCACCCGTCTGCCCTGTGCACAGCTGCCCCGGCTGGGGAGGGAGGGTCTGGGACTGGGTCTGGGACTGGGGACCCGGCACCCCCAGGGGTGCGGGCAGCGGGGGCTGGCCTGGGGCTGGCTCTCCTTGGTCTGCTGAGCCCCAAGGGCCGTGGTCAGGCTCAGGAGCCTGAAGACCCTGCTGTCAGAGAACAGAGTAGCTCTACTGCACAGGCAGTACTTTGAGAAGTCAGGAAAAAAAAAAAAAAAGACGTTGAAAGAATTTTCTTGGGAGTAGCCCAAGGAACCTTGACAGCCTGACTGCTGTGTGGGCCCGCAGCCAGCTCCTCAGAGGCTCAGCATGCGTCCTTCCCGTGGTCCCTCCCGGGCTGAGTGCCTGTGGAGGAGCAGTCTGAGCCCGTTAACGCACAGGGCTGACCGGGAGGACCGACACAGCAGTCCTGATGCTGGATGAGGGCCTTCGTCCCAGCTGAGGGCGAGCAGATCAGCATCTAGCATCGCTCCCAGGGCTCTGGCCAGTGCTCTTTGCATCGGGCCTGCAGAGGACACAGCACGGCCAGCCCTGGGGGGAGGCTTGGGGCCTCCAGCACAATCCTGATAATGAAGTGTTTTTATCTCAGCTTGGCTGAGGAAAAGGTTTTTCTCCCTCCTGGTGAGCAGTAGCCTGTTTTTAGGCCAGATACCCGTTAGTACTCAGAGCAGGAGCTGTTTGTACTGCAGAAGTGCCATGCTGCTGTTTGCAGGCAGTTTGCTCAGGACATAAAGGAAGGCAAGCAAGAGGGAAACCTCCCCTGCTGATCCTTGCCCTCTGAACTCAGTCCGGTGCCTGCAGCCCCCCGGCTTCTCCAGGCCTGGAGTGATGGCAGCAGCACAGGCTCACAGCCACGTGCTGCCCAGGGTGCGTTCCCCAAGGACGTTCTGGTTCATGGCACCTCCTGGGGCTGAGGTCAAGCCCCTGTCTCTTGCAAGCCTTGCCAAGGGTGAAGCACCCGTAGGGCCTGCAAGCAGCCTGGAAGCTGATGTGGCCGCAGCTCTGCCTCCTCGCACACACGGCAGCTGCAGACCTCAGTGCCTGGAGCTCCCCAGAGCTGCCCTAAGCTGACAGTGCCAAGGGGAACCCAGCCCAGGAGCCCCTGGCCAGGCCGTCCTCTCTGGACAGCACGACCTTTGTGATACAGCCTAAATTCCTCTCTGCTGGGGTGTGGGTGTTGGTTACCTGGGGGATGATCCACAGATCTATTATTTTCAGAACAGTGTACAGCATAGAACATTTTGTATAAAATGTTATAAAAAATAAAAAGCTTTTTCTGCTTAGAAACAAGCTGGTACATTTTGATTTTGTTAACTGTGCAGCCACACTTGTGGCTCTATTTCACGTTGTAAATAGAGCTGATCAAATAGAAAAGGGGAAGGTGGGGAAAACCTTTTCTAACTGCTGGCCTACAGGTTCCTTGTTTATTTTGGTGTAGCCAAAGGGAAAGCCCAGGGCTCAGCCCAGGCTGAGGCTGTTAGGAATCACACAGGACAAACTCCTGAAGGTGACCTGTCTTGGTCAGGGGATGCAGGGGGGAAAGCTGCTACTTCTCTTACAAGGAGCTAAAGGGAGTCAAGACGAGCCAGACACTACAGCAAACAATCTTTAATCAAGTTATGCAATATACAAAAGTTTAGTTTTCATGTAGACCAAGTTCAGTATTAAAAGGCTGACTGCTCAGTCCCAACTGGGGCATGTTAAATATCTTAGTTACGCTGCTACAAAATGGAACGAGCCTGGAGCATCAGGCAGACATGTACACATAAACTTACATGATAGTTCTGGGGAGAACCCCACACTTTGTCTCATCAGAAGGCCCAAGAACCTCCAACAAGAGGGTTGTTCTGAGTCAAGCTTTTGGAAATTATGAAAAAAGACTATATATGCAATTAAAAAAAATAGACTTTGTATGGGGAGGGAGGAGCAAGAAGCCCCTCTGTGCACCGCTCACAGTGAACACAGGACCATTCCTCACAGCATCGGGGCTCCCCTGAGGGCAGCTAGGCCATCCCCAGGAGCAGAAGCCCAGCCAGGTGATGGCAGCTTACAGTACAAGGAGGGATGCTAACAGACTTCCCTGTCCACAGCCAGGCCAGTTTGGCACTGATGTTGATTCCATCAAGACCAAGACCTAAGCAGAGGCTTTCACACGGGTTGAGCCAGACTTTGAACTGAGGAGTTTCTCCACCATGGTGCGAGCGTAGCGTAGTCGGCTGGCCAGCTCCTTGCAGCATCCGTGCTCCTCAATGAGGCTCAGCTTGTACGTGCGGAAGTCCCGTTTCTCATCTATGTATGTGACAGCAGCCATGAGAGGGCACAAGATGACTTTGGTGTGGTCCTGTAGGGAGAGAACACAGGGTCAGTCCTGAGCACACTGCTCCCTGGTGAAACTTCTACTGGAGGGAACAGCCACCTGGCAAGCTACGAGCCACTGGATGGTTTAGGTACCAGCAAGCAGAGCAGGGAGCTTTCCAGTGCTACGTTCACTGGGCAAGGCTTCATCTCAGGTTATAGCCCCCTGCTGGGATCGCTGTCTTGCCGTGCAGCGCTGCGTGCAGCAGGGCTGTTTGATCAGCTAGAGCTACAGGCCTGGCAGAGTTGAAGCAACATCCTCACCTGGAAGAAGTTGATCTGCACGGTGCCGTTGCTGAGGTGCAGGACGATGGCACTACGGGTCCGGAACCACGTGCAGAGGTAGGGTAAACGTGCAAGCTCATCTCCTTCCCGAGGTGTGATGTTAGCACCTGCCTTCAGCAAGTGCTCGCTCATGTAGTTCCGGAAGTATTTCAATAGTGTTATCTGCAGACAGAAGAGGCTATGAAAGACAGGCTGAGGATGACCCTTGCTATCTGTGGAGGGCAATGGGCTGCTGTCACAGACCCAGAGACTCCTTATGCCTTTCAGAGTGAGTGGTCACTGCACAAGTTTATGCAAGTTTTCATACAACAAAGTTAACTCTGGTGATACTTGAGACTCATTTTGCTGAACACCTCAGTCCATTTAAGTCTTGTGAGTGCTCATTTCTGTGAAACTGCTCATAAATGAGCCTCAGTTAGCAACTAGAAATACACAGTGCAGGCAGCCAGTGTTTTTCTTTCAGGCCACATTTTACCAGCCAAGAGGAAGCCTGCAGAACGCAAGCACCCCCGAGTCACAGATGTTTCTCTGTAGAGCCCACCCTGCAGCAAAGCCCAATATGGCTGGCAGAAGTCTCACCAGGAGCAGCCACCCACCAGCAAGGGCTCCTGTCCCCAGGACTGACCTTCTTGTTCAAGGCAGAGGGGTAGGATCTCACAGTGAAATAGGACTCGGTGTTGTTTTGCTCAATGTACTGCAAGCTGTCCCCATCGTTGTACATGATGAGACGAGTGGAGTCATTGAAGAGAACCCCAACGCTGTTGTCACACAGCTGATAACCTAGTTCAAAAGAGAGCCTGTTAGACCATCACATGCATGGGACCCCCGGTTATATGAAATACAGAGGCGGAGGATTGTGTTATCTGGGGCTTCCCCAACAGCTACCCCACTGAGCCTAAAGATCCTCCTCTTCACCAAGGGCTAGGAGGCACTTTTCCTCCTCTGGACTTATCCTCCCTTGTTGCACCATCTGCTGCAGAAGCAACTTCAACTCCCACCCTGAGTACACATGCCCTCTGCAGAGCAAGTCGAGCCACCCTGGATGCATGGGATCATGCAACACAGCTGTTTGCCACTCTTAAAGTAGCCAGGGAGGACATTCAGTGACAGCTACTCTGGTTTCACTGTTTGGTAATGTTCCTGGCAGTGGTCTTGAACCCAACCCCACGTGAATAAGTTGATTAAAGAACCAGACCTATACCATGCCCAAATCAGAGCATCCTCCCAGCTGCTTCAGAAATCACAAGAGGCTGAAGTATTGCCACCGTATTATTTACCTAGACCATATTTATCTGAGTAGTCCACCCATTTGCTAACCCAGAAGATGGGAATGCAGGCTGGGTCTTCAGCTTCTTCTGCAAAGAGGAAAGGAGTTTGTTAGAAGACATTTCAGGCCATCATGTGCACCACAACAAGCAAGCAAGGCCAAGAGGAAGGTGAGTAGCTTCTACATTGCCTCTCAGCCTTCCAGGTAGAAGTTGAGGTCAGTTGGCACCCTCACTTCAGACAACAGAATGACAGAAGTTATCCAAGAAGGCCAGTGCCTGTGGGATTGTCCCCAGCCAGACTCACCTTGTCTCACTGCCACTCTCTCGGAGGGTTTGGCTGAGTTGACTGCAGTCAGCTGCTGTAACATGTCAGCTAAATGACAGGCAATTGTGTCTCCTAGCTCCCGCAGCCCAGCTACATCTTCTTTTTCAGGCAAGTTCTCTACTGCAGGGCTGTCTGGTCCTGGGCCAAGAAAGAAGATTGCAGAGGCATGACCAGAAAGTAGGTTTTTAAGAGCACCAGATTTACATCCTACCCTAGCTGTAAGGAACACCTTATATACCACATAGCTGAAGCTAGTGCAAGCACTTCATCCCTGCTTTGGTTCTGGGTAAAGAGCAAGGACTCTCAGTCACAAAATGCTCCAGTTTTCAGAAGAATTGGGAGAACAGCAGGAGGCAGCACCACGTTCCCCACTGATGGGTCTGGATGCTGCTGGAAGCCAGGCAGGCTCTCACCCAGTGCTGCATCCATAGTCCTCGCTTGCACTTACCTTTGTTGAGTGCAGTCAGCGGCTTTCGCCCGTTCAGTTCAAGCGCGCTGGGAGCGATTGAAAACCTCGGTGCGATGGTGAGACAGCTGGTGGGCAAGCGGCTGGGGATGTACCCCGAGGTGAAGAACTCGTCGTTCAGCAACTCGTCGATAGTCGGGCGTGTGGCAGGGTCTGACCTTAGCATCTTCTGAATGAGGTTAGCAGCTACAGGGTTGATGTGCTAAGAGGAGAGAGCCGGAGATCACAGATAAGGGTTGGGGACAAGCACACGCTAGCAGCAAAGGTGCTGGGTGCACAACACAGGCAAAGCTCTGCTCAGAGCAGAGCTCTCGTGCTGGTCAGGCAAGCAGGATGCAAACCTGGGGAAACAGTGACACCGGTATGGAGAGTGGCTTTCTGTCAGCATTCAAAGCTAAAACTCAGCTTAGTCATTAAAATTCAACTTGGTCTTTAGCAAAACCAAGCTGAGAGCAGCAGGATGAGATGGGACTTGGCCCAGGCCTCATCTGTAGCTGGACTTGAGCAAATCCATCGAACCTCACATACCAAGCACCCAGCTCAGATTTTCTGAATCAAGAAGGTGCTGCTGGCCCCTCAGGAAGAAGCTGGCCCTACAGATTCGTTCTACCACCACCTGAGACAATCCCCTCCGAGCACGCTGCAATAAGAGCTGCTGTGCCATCAGACGAGAGCCCACTGAAGTGCCAAAAACAGGATGCAAGAATAGCTGCAAGGTGAACAGATCCACCCGTGGGAAGCATCATACCTTGGGAATAGTATACTCGTTCTTCTTAATTCGGATGTACGTTTCTTTCAGACAGGAGGTTTCAAAAGGTGGTTTTCCCACCAGCAGAGTGTACCTGTGTGTTTGCAGACAGAGATGTGCGTCAGTTTTACATAAGTCAGCAAAGAGACAAGACTTGTGCACAGCAGGAATCCCACCATAAGTACATCCTGCAATTTTCTGGGCAGAGGGAACACACAGCACTGTAAGCACAACAGAGCTGGCAGTTACGCTACTGCCCCTGGTTCCTGCCTGCCATGAAAAGGGAAGCTGGGATCTGGAGAAAGCCCCGGTTAGAAGTGAGGACTGCTGGGAAAAGGCCTCCAGACAGCCCTGCTGCATAGCACACGAGTCTACAGACATGCACTGTGTGTGCAGAGCACCTGGGAGGTCAGGTGCAGGCTGGCAGCAGCGCTCAGCCCTGTAACATGTACTCTGGTAACAAATCCAAAGCTCCAGCGCACACCAAGACCTCACGGGGCCAACAAGACCTAGACCACAGGGACTGCCCAGCCCCACGCCCAGCAGGTACCACGGCCAGCCAAGAGACGTTTACTCACATGATGCAGCCGATGGACCAGATGTCTACCTCAAAGCTGTGCCCCTTCTTGCCCAGCACCTCTGGGGCGATGTAGTTGGGAGTCCCACACAGGGTCTTCTTGCGCTCGCCATCGTACTCCACCTTGGTGGCCAGGCCAAAGTCACCTTGGGGAGAGAGGGAGAGGGAGGTGGGAGTGTGAGCAGGGAGCGCCCAGCTGGCTGGTTCTAGGCTGCAGGACGGCGGCAGGGGCGCAGCGGGGCGTCGTGGCACCTACCGATCTTCACCTCCATGTCGTCGCTGAGGAAGAGGTTGCCCAGCTTGAGGTCTCGGTGGATGACGCGGTGGCTGTGCAGGTACTGGCAGCCCAGGATGGTCTGGCGCAGGTAGTAGCGCACCTCGGGCTCGCTCAGCGCCTTCCGCCGCTTGTGCAGCTCCAGCAGCGACTGCGGGACACGGTCAGCGCCCGGTAGAACCCCCCCAACCCCCTTTCATCCCCTCCATCCCCATCCCCGTGCCCCCCCCCGGCTCTCACCCTGCGGCGGCAGAGCTCCAGCACCACGTAGACGAAGTCGGCGTCCTCGAAGAAGCTCTGGAAGCCGACGACGTGGCGGTGCGCCAGGCTGCGGTGGATGGCGATCTCCATGGACATCTTCTCCTTCTGGTGCGGCTTCACCAGCAGCGCCTTGGGCACCACCTTGCCCGCGAACACCTCGCGGCTCTCGGCCTCGGCCAGCTCGTAGCAGCGCGCGAAGCCGCCCTTGCCCAGGAAGCGGCCCCGCAGGTAACTGCGCCGCGTCCGCGGGTCCACCAGCACCTTCGGCACCTCCTTGCCGCCCGCCGCCGCCGCGGAGCCTCCGCGAGCCGCCTCCGCCGGCACCGCCGCCCGGGACGGCCGCGCACCCGCAGCGCTCATGGCGGGACCGGGACGGGACGGGAGGAGCGGGGCCGATCGGAGCGGGACCGGGGGGAGCGGCGCTGCCGGTGCCGGTGCTGCCGGGGCCCGGGCGCTGTGGGAGCGGTGCCGGTGCTGCCGGGGGCGGCGCGCGGCGGATTCAAACCCGGCCGTTACGGGCCGCGGGCGCTGCCCATTGGCCGCGAGGATTTAAAATCCACGCCGCCGCCGCGGGGCACCATGGGAGCGCCCCGCCCGCCTTAAAGGGGGCACGGCCGGGGGGGGCCCACAGCGCCCCCCCCCCCCACACCCCATGGGGAGACCCCACAAGGGCCCAGCAGCGGCCATGGGGGGGGAGGGGGTTGATGAGGGGGGCTCCTGCCGCTGTCCCCGGGTTTGTGCGCAGCTCCTGGCCGCGTTGCCCCGGTACATTCAGTCCGAGCACGCAAAAGGGAAATAAAACTCCCCAGGGCACAGAATCCCCCCGGGCAGCCCCCTCCCAGCCGGGAGCTCCCCGCAGGGCCGAGCCCCGCAGCCCCCCCCCAGCCGGGAGCTCCCCGCAGGGCCGAGCCCCGCAGCCCCCCCCCAGCCGGGCGGCCCCAGCCCAGCGCCTCCGGCAGCGCTCCCCAGCAGGGACCTGGCTGGCTTACGGAGCACATCTCCGCGTTCACCCCCAAATCTCAGCAATTTGGGGCAAATTTTGACAGTTTTGACAATTCTTATTCCGTAGGACCCCCCCCCCCCCCGTTCCTGGCGTTATCTTCTGCCTCCCCCTCCTGCTGCCTGGGTCGGCGTTCTGCCAGTTGAGTGCAGCCGCGTGGGGCCTCACCCAGGGCTCTGCGCTGCCCTCCTGCCACCCCCAGGCCGAGCGCTACCTGAGGAGAGCGGCCACGAGGGATCACAGCCGGGGGGGGTCACACCCGGGGGGTCACACCCAGGGGCCTGCACAGCCCCTTCCTGCCTCCTCGTGTCATTTGTTAAGGAGACTTAAGCTCACATTCTCCCTCCAGGCCTGCACGCTCCCACCCTGCTGCAGCTGGAGTGAGGGCAGTTCTCTCTCCTGGCGTCCCTTTCCCACCCATGAAATCTGTTTGTTTTACCCCAGGAAACAGACACCTGGCCAGCACGTTCTGTGCTCCTGCAGTTTGCTCGGACCTTGGGGGCTGCAGATGTCAGCTAACGGCTAGCCGGGTGCTCCAGCCAGTGATCTCCCGGGGTAGCTCAGAGTCTGGCCCTTGCCTGAGAGTCCAGTGCCCAAGATGTGTCCTAGAGACCAAACAAGGAGCCAGGTGATCATTAGGGCAGGCAGCAAGCTGTTATTTCTCTGATGGCATCAGACCACCTCAAGAAGTTCTGCTCCATGCACAGCATAGCCCCCACTGAGCCAGTTTGTTACCGTCACTGCCTTCCCACAGAGCCCTCCGGTCAGCAGCTCCCCACCACTCCGTGTGCTTAGCATCTACCCTACAACCTCCAGCAGCTGGCAGTGGGCACCAAGTGGCAGAGAGGAGCACTGTGAAGCCCCAGCTGTACGCTCCTGAGACTCTAAATGCCCTGCGTGAGTGACCAGCACGGCCCATCAGCCTTGGTCAGAGCACACTGGAATAAAGCATATGGGTCAGGGAAGCAAGGGACATAGTGTTTGAGGTGACCACTTCTCAAAGATTCCTGAAAGGAGGAATTTCCCTCCCCAAGTGTGCTTCCCCCCCACCTACAGCTACGCAGCACAGCCCGCTGTGAGAAGTCATCTTTATTGCACTGCACATTGACATCAGGCAGCAATTTGCCGGGGGCCGCCTCCTCGCACTCCATCTTTGCACAGAGGTGAGCCCAGGTCGGTGACGCTTCAGAGGACAGGAAAAAGTAGCCAAATGTAAGGAATGTTAACGCTGAGCATTTGGGGTCTTCAGTGGCGACATGTTATACCCTGGCAGAGGCCACCTTGACAGAGACAACAAAACAGGTTTTAATTAAGGCAGGAGGGCTGCTCAGCCTGCTGGGTGGCAGCGGAGGCTGAGAAATGCGTAGTGCACCGTGTACTTACGTGCCCCTCGGTGCCCTGCAGCCGTGCTGCTCGAGTGGAAATGCATCATCCTGGGACTTCCACCAGCAATCCCAACTCCACTCAGACTCACACCCCTTAACTCGGCAGCCACCTCCTCCTGCCCCCTCCCAGCCCAGCAGCCCAGCTTCGCACCGCCCCTCGTGGTCTTTAATCCAGCAGTCCCGGTGAAGAGGGCCGTGGTGTTGGAACCCCGCAGCGACACATGGGAACACAGCACACACACAGGCCCTCCCTAATCAGCTCCACGGCCGCGTCCCACGCTTCAAGGGACAGCTGATGGCAACCTAATGGGGCAAAGGAGTACTGACAAGTGGCAGCACAAACACCTACATGTCCGGCCTGCAGGAAATCTTGTGGGACTGCCAAAACCTGTCAGGTCTTGTGACCGAGCGGGCCTCCTATAGCCCCTCACAGCACAGGGCTTTTGCAAGGGCCAGTAAGATTCTGGACAGGAGGAACTGAATATTTGTTGAAGTTGAAGTCAATGAGAAAGCTGCCTATAGCACAAACGTAGTACAAGAACAATTGCAACTTGATGTTTTTTCTACCCAGAAAAAGTGGCAAGCCTGGGCCTTTCACATGGACATAACCCCGGCCTAGAAGATCAGAGGAAGAGCACAGCTGCCTCCTGCACTTGTCTGCACTCCCGCTCCAGGGGAGGCTCGAGGAGCACAGCTCTCCTGGAACAGGTGGTTCTAGCCAGGATGGGACTAGGTGATACAACTGTCCTGCTGGAGCTGGGCTTCCAGCAAACATTTTACCTCTCTTGAAACCAGGCAGATGACCTAACTGATCTATTGCATTGATATTTCAGCCCAGTTCTTGCAGCTTCAACAACAACAAAAAAAACAAACAAAACTTTGTCTTCCTGTCCCAGCTGTGCCTCCTGCCACAAGCTAGCTCCAGCTCCTGCTTTTCTTGCAGGGGTCACACCTTCTGGAACAGCCAGATTCAAAGAGGCCATTTCCAAAGCCTGAAGCAACACCACTGGAGCTGCCGCTGTCCCAGTATGTGTGTCTGAAGTTCCAGTGCTGGAGAGAGAATCGTACAGGCACTGTGGTGGCTTTGGCACTCTCACTTCAGCATCAAGACATGAAGCAAAGTCATTCTGTAGCAGGGGCATTATGAACCAGCAATGCTGGAATGATTTGCTGGTGAAAGTCATCAGCTCAGACACAGCAGCAGAAGCTGTTTCACGCCGCGCTTCACTTCTTCAATGCACTGACACTGCCTGTCGGAGTCAGGCCAAGAGACTGGCTCATGTGCACGGGCACAACAGGAGCCTCACTGGTCTCAAGTTTGGTTTGAAAAGTCACAACCTTGAGTTACTTGAACAACTTAAGAGGCTTTAATTTATGTACAGTAAAAATACAAACAAAGCAGACAGTAGTTTTACATTAGATTAACAGCAGTTACTACACACTTTAGTACTTGTACAGCTGTTTCTATTTAAGGTCTATCAGTACTTTGCACTATATACAGCAGCTGAAGGCTCCAGGGCTGCTGTATGCTGACTACGTAATCAAAATGCATTCTGGCCTCCTGCTGCTATGCTACAACATGCAGGAGACCCAGTTTTAGAAGTTACAGAGGGCTGATGTTAAGATTTAACACGGACAGAGCGGGCAAATTCACTTTTGGCCAGTTGTCTGGTACTGAGGCAGGTACCCACAAGCGTCAGCTGTCTCCAACGTGCATACAGCCGTTCCCAGGAAGAACTAATCCTGCTGTATCGCTTGTCCAAAATGAAATGTTCACTCTTTCCAAGATGTCTGAATTTCTATCTTCAGTTTTATAATGCAGAGAAGCACCAAAGAGCTTTCTGCAAATGCATACACTGGATAACAAGTGGGGACAACTGCAGCATTCTCTCACCCACCTCCAGTGTCTGCTTTTAACTCCCCACTTTCTGCTGCACTGAGTTCTGAGAGTGGCACGGTACTTCTCTTTCCAAAGCCTTTTGACTCTCTAAGGTCTGCAATGTTCAGGAGAAAGAACGTGCATCAGCAAAGAGAATCCTAACCCTGCACGATGGGCAAGAGCACTGCACCCGTGTCTGCTTTAAGAGCTACGAAGCGTCCTGTCAGGCTGTTGTGGTTTAACCCCAGCAGGCAGCCAAGCACCACACAGCAGCTCCCTCACTCCCCCTCAGTGGGACGAGGGAGAATCAGAAAGGGACAAGTGAGAAAACTCAGCGCTTGAGATAAAACAGGAGCTGCACACACAAGCAAAGCAAGATAAGGAATTCATTCACCCCTGCCATCGACAGGCAGGTATTGAGCTGCTTCAAAGAAAGGAACGTCTAGCAGTGACCTGGGAAGACAGATGCCATAACTCCAAATGTCCCCCTCACCCTCTTTCTTGCCCCCAGCTTTTATTGCTGGGCCTGCTGTCATGGTATGGGGCATCCCTTTGGCCAGGCTGGGTCAGCTGTCCTGGCTGTGTCCCCTCCCAGCCTACTCGATGGCAGCGCGGCATGGGAAAGAGAAGGCCTTGAATGAGCACAAGCACTGCTCAGCAACAGCTAGAGCACCAGCGTGTTATCAACACTGTTTGTTATCACAAACACAAAACACGGCACCAAACGAACTACTATGGACAAAGTTAGCTCTGTCACAGCCAATACCAGGCCACAGGCAAGGCGTACAGAGATAGTTTCAAGGTCAGCCCGAAGTTCTAAAGCTAATCACAGGATGGTGAAAGATATTGTGCGCCCCACAGGAGAGAATCTCAGTCCACAGGGAGAAAAGGAAGACACGATCCACCTCAAAACACAGGCCTGTACATCAGCAAATGTTTTTGTGAAGGAAAGCATTGCCTCTGATGAACCGTGGGAAATAACTGCCTACAAGTCCATCAGCCACACAGCACTGCTGCTCTAGGACGGAGGCTGCTTCTAGCAAAGGCAAACCCACTCGGCTCTGGGTCAGGAACAGAACAGACATGAAAGAGGGGCTTTGGCTGCAGAGTATGTTCTGTCAACTCTGCCTTGTTCTGCAGCTGAAACGTGGAGATGCTGCCCTGAAGGGCACAGAAGCAGCTTTCCTAAGCCCAGAACATTTAATGACACAATTCAGACAACACGGAATGAATTACATTCAAATGAGCGTACAGAGGTTACACAACAGGACACAGCAGCTCCCCAGGGCACCGCTTGGCCAGACCTTTAGTGGTGAGGAACACTCACAGGAGGGGTCGGGAACAGCAGAGGGCCATGCCCTGGACTCCCAGAACAAATTCCTCTCCCTGCCCCCAAACACTCCTACGCGCCGTTACTGCTGTGCAACGCGGTAAATAGGCTACTAGACCTGGGTGAGCGGCAAGAACTTCTGGTAATAGCTCTTTGTCACGTCAATCATGAGCTCCTGGGTACATTCCGGGAGTTCACCGGAGAAGAGTCCTGCAAGAAGAACAAGAGTGTGACCACTGGGAAGGCAGAAATAATATATAAATAAATAAAAAATTCAACAGAAATAAAATACATTTGGTGTTCCAAGCAGCCACTTTGAGCTGTAGGCAAATACTACAGCAGCAGCTAAGGGCTCTGCCCTCGTGTTGAACAGTACAGCAGGCTCCTTCTGAGTGCGCACACACCGCCCACCGAACACACAGCACGGCAGCAAGGTGCACAAGTCACACTGTGGCTTTGCAGTTCACCAAGTGCCCTCCGCCCTTACTGCTAGGTACACGATGCCAGTAGGAGTCGTTGCCACCGTGTTTTACTGTACAAATATCCATCTTATCCACATTTACGTACCAGTAGAATTGGAGGGAGCATACCTGGGCAGCCTGAGAAGACTGTGAAAGGCGGGACTACTGTTTCGGGAGGCAGCACTGTGTTGTCTAAGATCTTGCAGCAGTCTTTCAAAACGCATCGACGACCCTAAAACACCAGTTAGGCAGAACTTGAACTTAAAATACTAAATGCTTGTGCTTAGTCCTTATAAGTTACCTAAGCTTCAAGGAGTTTAACTCTTTGAAATACATCCTGCATACAGGATCACGCAAATAAATCTCTACCCTGAATGTTCTTCCCAACAGTACTTGGCAGACTGTATCAGCCCATTTTTTCCTAAGGAAGAGTCCTTTTGCTCTTGACTAACACACATACTTGGCACTGCATGCTAATTTACGTCAGTTTGCACCCAGAACCCGAGTCGTGCAGAAACATAGCAAGGCTTTCTGCAGTTCAGCAGAGACCTTGATTATTTCATTGTTTGCACAGGAACCCAATTCTGCCTGTACTTAGTGAAACGGCTGCCTCCCTGGACAGGCCTGTGGGCCATGGGGACAATGGCTATCCAGGTAAGTGCCTAAGGCAGGGACAAGCCTGCTGGGACTGATTCTCCAAGCAGTGCTCAGCTGCATCTGCCATCCCCAGAACAGCAAAATCAAGAGCACAGCTTTCTGTGAAGGATGACACAGCATGCAGTAAGCATGCTTGCTCCTGGCAGCTGGTACACCTCTCCACTGCTGTTACAGAGCCTGAACAATATTCAAGAGACTCGAGGAAAGACAGAGAAAGAGCACTCACAATGACACAGTTCTTGCCTATGTGGACGTAGGAGCCAATCTGGGCTGCGTTGACAACACAGTCCTCTTCTATGAACACGTGATCACCGATGTGGAGCGGGAAAAAAGCAACCCTGTGGCAGAAGAGTCATTTATTCAAATGGCACAATGCACACACTGTCAGGCCCAGCATTGCACTGCAGTCCCCTGCGTCCTACTGGAAAACCAGAGGGAGACTTGATGCTATGGAGGACTGAACAGTGACTGGTGCTTTCCTCAGATATCTCTAAAAGATGGCCCGGATAAACAACAGGGAGACATCACGAGTAAGTGAAGAACGAGTGAAACACGTTCTTTGCTTCACTATTTAAATATAGCGCAGTCTTTTCACATGACAGTCTGAGGGGAACACCAGCCCTCGAGGCAAAGCTGCAAACTGGGGAGTCAGGGGCAGAGGGACACCAGCATCACACTGCTACCAGGGAAACGCATCCCTCCGCACGGCGCTGGGCCTCAGCCGCACGGGAACGCCCTGAGCGCGGGGATTTCGGCTTGGGCAGAGGTCGGGGCGCTGCGCTCACCCTTTGCTGAACTTCTTGAAGGGCGGCCGGATGACGCTGCGGCTCTTCACCACGCAGTGCCGCCCCACGCGCACGTTGGCCAGGTCGCCGCGGATGATGCAGTCGTTCATGACTATGGTCTGCAGGGGGGGAGACAGGGACGGGACGGGAGGGGACAGGACAGGGCCGGGCATGGAGCCGCCGTCCCTGCACGGCTCCGGCCACCCCCGCGCCCCGCGCCCCGCCCGGCCCCGGCCGTACCTTGCCGTTGAGGACGATGTTCTGGCTGCCGCACAGCACCGACTGCCGGCTCACCTTGTTGCCTGACGCCTGCGGGGACAAGGGCAGAGGGATGAGGAGGGGGATAACCGGGGGGGACACCGGGGCTGAAGGGCCCTCCCCCCCCCCGCACCGTCTCGATGTACTCGGACTTGTTGTACAGCATCTCCCCAGCTCCATGGCCGCGCCGCTTCCGCCCGGCCGCCGCCCGCTTCCGGCGCGTCACACGTCACTTCCTGCCGCCGGCCGCCGCTTCCGCCGCGGGAGCCACCAATGGCGGCGCCGTTGCCATGGGCACGGGAAGAGGCGGCCATGGCCGAGGCGGCGGCGGGAGCGGCGCTGAGCGGGGCCGAGAGGGAGAGGGTGCGGGGGGCGGGGCGGGGATGGACCGGGACCGGGACCGGGACCGGGATCGGGATGGGGACGGGGATGGGACGGGGACGGGAATGGGACTGGGGATGAGGATGGGGATGGGATGGGGACGGAGACGGGGATGGAAATGGGACCGGGGATGGGGACGGGGATGAGGATGAGGATGAGGATGGGGACGGGGACGGGGGCGGGGACCGGGACCGGACCGGGACCGGGACTGGGAAAGGGACCGGGACGGGGATGGGATCGGGACCGGGACCAGGATCTGGAGCGGGACGGGGATGGGGACGGAATGGAGACGGGGAGGGGGATGGAAATGGGACCGGGACCGGGACGGGATCGGGACCGGGACTGGAACCGGGACGGGGATGGGACCGGGATGGGGACGGGGATGAGGATGGGGATGGGATCGGGACAGGATCAGGATCGGGACCAGGACTGGGAAAGGGACCGGGACGGGGATGGGATCGGGACCGGGACCGGGATATGGACTGGGATGGGACCGGGACCGGGACCGGGACCGGGCCATGCCCAGGTGGCTCGGCCCGCCCCGGCCCGGCTCCCCCCCTGACCCCGTTCGGGTGTCCCACAGCTGCGGGAGAAGCTGGCGCTGCTGCGGCGGGAGTACAGCGAGACGGTCAGCCGGCTGCGGGTGAGCGGGGCGGGCGGCGGCGGGGCCGGGCCCGGCGGGGCCCGCGGGGGGGTGCCCGGAGGCCGCTCCGAGCCCCGCCGCCGCCTTGTGTCCGCAGCGGGCGCGGCGAGCATGAGCGGGCCCGGGGCCACGCCGGGAGGAGGCCGGCAGAGGATGGAGAGCGGCAGGCCCGCAGAGCCGGGGGGGCGGCGCAGCCCCGCAGGTAGGACCGGGAGTGCCCCCCCCGAGCTGCCCCAGCTCGGGCTCATCGTCCTCACCCGCTGTTTGGCGAGCGGCCCTGCTGGGGTCACAAACCTGTCACAGAACCAGGTCGCTCGATCTGCAGTAACCTCCCTTTTCCTTGGACGTGACCTTGCTGGGAGTGCTTTACACATGTGAGGTTTTTCCCAACAGGTTCCAGAGGCAGCAAATCTCCTGGTGCTGACAGACATGAAACCCGGTCTGTACAGGCTAAAGCCTGCTCGGCTCCTGACACGGAGAAGAAAACTTCTGTCACACTTAAACACGCTCCTGAGTTTGTCAGTGATGAAGTTAGTTTGCAGGACAGCTCGCTGGCAGAAAGTGCACAGGCTCGCCAGGGAAGTGCGTGCTGTGGAGGCTCGAGGCCTGCAACCGAGGAGAAAAAAACCCAAACCTCGAGAAGCATGATGAAGCTGAGGAGGAGGAGGACAAAGACTCTGGTATCAGAGAAAAGGGAACTGGTGCACGGTGTGCATCGAATCAAGGCTGATGAAACGGTGAAAAAGCAAACTGTCAGTGCTGAGCAGCTTCGGTCACCAGTCTTCAAGCAAGGCAGCTTCTCAAACACTGCGGCGAATGCTCAAAGCGAGTCTAGACCAGCAATCGTGGGGAAGCAAGAGGACGGTTTAACTCCTCCAGATGCTGAACTGGGAGTTCTACAGGATGTGCTTGAAGACAGCCTCCCTCTGGGAGTGCCTGAGCTACTGCCTTGTGTCCCGGGGGACAGCAGTGATGTCTGGCAGCCTGAGTCCCCAGGTGCTGTGGCCACATCCGATAACCGTGCGCCTGCACAGCTGCATTCAGAGAATGGCGAATCTGATTTACTTGGTGCCGGCGGTGAAGGTGGAAAAGAATCTTTGAGGGTAATAAAACAAACAGACAGTGAGAGCATACACGGAGATCAGGGGGAATTATGCGGGCTCTTGGGTTTAACGTCAGCAAATGAAGTATTGCCCGCAGGCAGAAATAACAATGTAATGAATGAGAGCGAAAGCCATGAAGGAAATGAAAATGACACTGGTGGTTCAAATGCCTTTCCTTCAGATCTTGCTCTGGGCAATGCTGAGAAACTGTTGGAGAATCAACAGCTTGAAATTCAGTCTAGGCTTTCTCATCTAGAAAATGTAGCAGCTCCTGAAAGTGCACTGAGCTCTTGCACGATGGTTGAGGGGCTTCTCTTTCCAGTCGAATACTATGTCAGGACAACTCGACGCATGTCTAATTGCCAGAGGAAAGTGGACCTTGATGCTGTAATTCTCAGCCAGCTGGGCAGGAGCAAGAAAGGTCAGAGAAGTAAATGCAAGCAGAAAGATGCCGATTCAAATCAGCCCTCCCAAGAAACGGTTGAAAATGATTTGGAGTCAGCAGTTGTGCCATTCCCTTTTCTTTGTACAGAAAATGATCCAGTGAATTCAAGTAGTCCTCAGAAAACTTTTCTTACGTCCAGCGGGAGCAGCAATTCACCAGGGTCAATTTCTCAAAGCAGCACCACAAGCACAAAGCAAGATCAGAGGCGATCGCAGAGGAAACAAAAGGGAAGAAAAAAGTCTGCCTGCAAACCTGTGAGTCAAACGTCACAGGAACTTATAGAAAGTTTGGATCTCATAACACCAAGGGAAAGCAGTAGTCGGCTATCAAATGAGTGTCAGAGTGAAAGGGAAAACTGTGAGGCTAATCCCGAAAAGTCATCTTCAGATGAGAGGCGGGTGTCTGTTGCTGCAGCTCTTGGGTCTGGAGCAGCTGGTGTGATACAGCCAACAAGTGCTGATCCTCCGGGTGGAAGCCAAGGGCTTGGCAAATGCCGTAAGACTCTTTTAGAACAGGTTCAAAATCCACTGCAGAAAAGTGACTCTCCAAACCCGAGGAACGAACCTTTTGTCAGCCACACAGGTGATCTGGAATGCAAGCTCAGTGTGTGTCAGTCTGATAAGTCTCCAGTGGAACATGTTCAGAGTCAGCATGTGCAAGCAGCCTGCGGGGCTGAACAGCTTCTAGCAATTAACGCCCCTCCACGCCGCTCCCTGCGATCCTCTGCAAGACAGAGAGACAGTCAAGCCTCCAAAGGTATTTCATCAAATACAAGCACTCCCTAAAACTAGAGCCCAAGAGCAAGGCAAGGAAACAGATGAATGAGTTCATGCATTGATGTTTGCACCCTGCCTTATTTATATTCAACAAAATCTGATATGGGGTAATTTTTTTTTTTTGACAAGTTGTTTTTAAAATTTAGCTCATTGTGGTGCCCATGTGCCTTGCACAATTCCAGAATTTTCTGCCTCAGCACAGTGACAGAGGATGAACGGCTGTGCATGGATAAGGAGCGGGGCTGGGAACTTCGTGAGCTGCCTTTCCTTTTGGGGTGGATGTTGTGCACACTCTACCTGATTTTCCAGTAAATGGATGTAAATCTCTGTCCAACTGAGTCTGCATATTAATGATTTTTTTTTTTAGCGCTGACAAGTGTGAAACAAAGCTTAGCATACCTAAAAGTCCAGGAATATTGTAGAAAGAGAAAATGTTGGGAGAAAAGCCAAACAAATGGGTCGGGCACTCAGTCAGTTTTGACTGTCTTTGGCAGTGATATTTTAGCTGAAGGCTCAATGCAGAGCAGTTGTGGAATAGAGTGTGTTTCCAGCGAAGTGCCACTTCCATGTGGTAAGATGGGTGTGGTTCTTTTTTTTGGAAGATAGATGACACTCTAGATGAGAAATTCTAAAACAGCTAGGTGCTGTCCATGTTATGATGTGATGTTCTCTCTTGAATTCTTATGTTTGTCTAGATGAGAGCAAAAGAGGACCTGGCCATCAAATGGATTCAGAGGGTGCTGCTTCTCTTGGTCTTCCTGCTACAAACGCCGGGACTTCCAGTTCTCTCTTTTCCTTCCGCAGTCACCAGTGGCTGGTCCCCAAACTGGGTATCGAAGAATTTCATCTACCTGATGAGGAATTTGGACTATTAAAACTTGAGAAATGTGAATCTTCCCCTGTGAATGACTTGGAGGCTTTTGTTCCTAGTGTGTTTGGGGATGGGCTGGCTTCAGAGGACGTGCAAGCTGCAGAAATGAAGGCAGAAGAAAAAGGGCTCAACAGGAATCTGATTTCACCGCTCAAAAGTGGGTCGCCCAAGTCATCTCATTTGGAAAGCCCGGCTTCCAAGATGGAGCTTTCCACACATGAACTGCTGTTTACTCCCGTGGGGACTATCTCAACTGGTGCTCCCGTTCAGCCTGAGTCTCACATTTCCTCGTCTATTTTCCCTGTTTTGGGTGCAACCCCGGCTGTTCTGCCATCCGTATGCAGTGAGCTCCTCCCCAGTACATGTTCTGTACCTCCTTTGCCAGTCAGCCCACGCTCCTCTCAAGAAGCACCTGCCCAGGTCATGGGTGACGGGGAATGCAAAGACTCTGCCATTCCGCTGCACTTGGACAGCTGTGGTGCAGGATCTGCTAGACAAGGGGAAGGACAAGGTGCAACATTTCATGTAGAAGCTGACAGACATCCTAATAATAGATTGGATGGGGCTGTGGCCTTGGAGGATCATCAGCAATCACAGAGCAAACAGCAGAGATCCTGCAGATCCCCCGAACAGGTAACAAGCTGGCCTCTTTGCCAAGGGTACTAAGCCTTAGTTTTGTGGGTGAGTCCCCTCTTCCATAGTCTCACCTTTCTGAGGAAAGGCCTTGTCTCTGACGGTGAGAATGGGACTGAGAGACGCAAAGTGGTGTTAAAAAACAGTTTCCAGGTGAAAATAGGGAATAAACTGTCAGGGATCTCTTATTTTTGAAAGGAATGCAAGTACAAAAACGTGCTCCTGTCTCAGCTCTCTACTGCATGCAAAGTGAATTTACATTTCTGCCTCATTCCTGCAAGTGCCGAATGTAATTTTTGAAGTTGAATTTATCTTAATTTTTTACTTGTTTGTGCAGAAAAAAAATGAA